GAGAGTTTTACATTTTACAGAGGTTTGCTTGGCAGTTGTCTGGAGGCAAACCAGCCCCAATACAAAACTTCACAGCTTGCTTTACTGAGGCAAATTTCATCTCTGTTTACATGGGATTATATCCTGTGCTCAGACCTTCATTTTTCTCACAGCTGGCGGGCAAAGAAAAATGAAGCCCTGATACACATGTTATTAAATGTTTGTGTCCTACAACTGCCTTTATGGTTCATGGTTGTAACTCCGATTGGCTATTTCTAGCATGAGTATTCATGCCATATTTAATGACTTAATGTATTGTTTTGATAATTGGTTAATGCTATAATTAAATAATGTTATTATGATATATTTAGTGATTGTAACTATATGTAGCTTGTTATTATGTGAAATTGACATTTCTTCTGGCACATTTTGATTGGATACCAAAAATCTATAGTGTGGGTGGAAAGTAACTCTGAGTGGATCAAGACTTGCATTAGTCTCTGTATGTAATTACAGAGCCTAATTGCAGGTTTATGAGATTTCTAATAGTAATGCAACATTGGTTACAGTAGAAGACTAAGGGGGAGTTTACATGAAAGGTAATTGTTTCAAGTTGCAACTTCCAGTGGTATCTCCTATTTCATTTCATTTTCATTTTATATGGAAATGAGCTGGCATGCCTTGTGACAGGGGTCTTACTTTGCATTGCCTGAATTATTGGAACTAGTTGGATATTTTGCAAACAAAGATGATAACCTGGGATTGCTCGCCTACCATAGTTGAGTGTTTATATGCTTTGTCTGTGCAAATATAATTTGATATAAGCTGTATATGTCATATGACATTCTCCTGACAGATTTTAATCTTAGAATCAATGATAAAATGATGGACGGTATAAATACTGTATATACTGTAACTGGTGTATACAGGTTATAATTATGAAATTTGCTCACAAAAGTGGGATAGTTTGGAAAATATATTTAATTAAATTATATATTTGTAATGCTAATTATCCCAGTATTATGTTTTGGATAGCCAGCATGCCACCCTGAGGATTACGATTACCATTGATAAGTGTATGGATATATTTGACAAGATGTGCATTTATGTAATAACATAGGGAAAATTAAATATTCATCAATACTACTGTGCAGCCTTTCTTAAAGGAGTATTGTATTAATATTAGTTGAAAGTCAGTCAAAATTAAAGGGGACAGATAGCAGACATATGATTAAATTATGTCATATTTATCATTGTACAGTTTGGTATTGGTTTATTTAACAAACAATTTCCAACTAAGATAGCTTCATTAAATTAATTTATTATTAAATTATATATTTTTAAACCCAGTGTTTGTTGTGTGTTAGTTTACTGGTTTCCTCGCCACAAGGCAATATTCTCAGTATTCAGAGTGTGGGCTGTTCACCATGCAGTTCATATCAAAGGCAGCTAGGGGTAAATGAAATTGACCAACTGATGCCATCCACACTGTCCATGAGAGTAAGATTAGCAGCATAAGACAGAGTTGCATAGGGGGGGGGGGTGCGCACCCCCCCCCAGGCTCTGGTCAACAGGGGTGCATGGGGGGGGTGTTAAGGAATTCAGTTGCGTATCACTAGTTGACAATAGCAGAATAGCCAATATTAAATGTTCTGAATTTTTAAATGTTTTGAGAATCTAAAAATTTTCCAGAATGTTTTCTCAGAATGCTGGAAATGCCATTTCAGAGACCCCCAAATTAAAAAATTTTCCGGGGGAGTATGCCCTGGACCACCCTAGAAATCTTGCGCCTTCGGCGCTCATTTCGCCATTGGTTAGCACCCCCTCAAAAAAAACTTTGCTGGATCCACCACTGAAGCACAAAATACCTTTATGCACCATATTTTATTTTACTTTAAATTCTAATGCTAGAAGATTTTACTCATGGAACATTGGAAATTAATGGGGGAAGGTGGTTCATAAACAACATAATAAAACTGTCTTCTGAGTCCAGCAATGCAACTAGTGGAGCACACTGTATACACCTTTGTTACACAGTATGTGTGTATTTGCGTTGTTGTGACTTTCTGCCGAAATGTTTTTCAATAGAAAAGTTAAGGCTACAAGAAGCACAGTACTGACTATTTTTTAATAGAGACTTATTGTCGCTGCTGCTATTACACTTGGACAAACAAATTTTTTTCTTCTTATATGCAGAAATTATGTTGTTTTTGCGATAAAGGTTCAAGTTTTTTACTTGTTTTTTCCAAAAATGCAGCAAAATTTTTGTGACTCTGATATATGAATTGGAACAAAAGAGGTCCGCTCAGGAAAAAACGAAAAAACGCAGGAAATCGCATTTCCGAGGTCCTAGATTTCAAAATTTCCCCGGGGAGGATATCTCCGGACCCCCCTACAAATGCGAGATCTTATGTATGCATCAGTCAGCTCAGGAGCTGGATCCGCCCCTGCTATAACTACAATACAGCTTCTGGCTCATTAGCAACATATTTATCAAGGCCGGCAAGGGGGGAGGGATACCCAGAACCCTGAAGTTGCCAGGCGGGCTTTACCTCAGCATTTTACTCTAACAACAGACGATTTTACTCTGGCTAAGGCCCAAACCATGCAGGCAAAATTTACTCATTTATTAATGATATTTGTTTATTTTTATATACTTACTGTGCCATCCACAAATCCCCAGACATTGTCGAGAGCAGCACCTTTCTCATGAACAGCTCTTGTCATTTCCATCAACTTTTCTGGGGCTAGCCATGGGACATTTAGATTACTTAACAGCGAATGGTGTTGGGCAAACACAAAGTCGACAACATTGTTGAATATCATGCTAAGTTCTGTTTTTGATCTACCAAACATGGCAATCATGTCTGTTAAACGATTTGGATAAGCCAAACGACGAAGAAGTACACATAATCCTCCTAAAGAGCCAGCAATTGTACCATTTTTGCATAAAAATTGATTAGGTAATCGCAGTGCAGTAACTAAATGCAAAACATCAACTTTTTGGAAACGAAAATTCAGTACACACTCTTCATCGGTGTATTTATCGAGCTCAAACCATGGATAATTTCTGTGAGGTACCGGCAGCGGTAGCTCTGTTAAATAAAGGTAAAATCCGAGCAATTCCTCGTCTTCTAAGTCACCTTCGTCTTCTGCTAAAAACAACAGTTCTTCTTCGTAAATTCTCAGAGCCGCCATCTTTATTTTTGACGAGACGAAGAGGTCACAGAAGAACTGGACTCAAAACTGAACTCAAAAAATGTATTGTCGCGAACTCAACCGATTGCGCCAATGAGAGGTAGCGGTGGTGGTAGTCAAATCTGAACCTTGCTACTATTGGCAAGGGCTGTTATCTACTTTAGGTCAGGGCTAATTCCGTCTTTAGTAAACACCAGACCAAAAAATTCAAGGTTTTGTTTCAAAAACAAACACTTAGCCAAGTTCAAGGTTAGTCCATTGTCCTTTAATCGCTGTAGGCATTCTTGCAATGCGGTGTTATGCTGTTCATATGTGCTTCCGAACACTAAAATATCATCAGCAATATTCTGTACGCCTTTGATGCCTTGTAATACTTGCTGTAATGTGTGCTGGAATATCTCGGCTGCTGAGTTACTTCCATAGTTGAGTTGTTTGAATCGAAATAAGCCAGTATGCGTAGCAACGGTTGTGATATGTCGGCTGCTTGGTGATAGTTCTAGCTGATGGTATGGCTGTGCCAAGTCCAACTTTGAAAAGAACTGTGCACCATTTAGCTCCAACGAAACATCCTTTACTGTTGGAATTGGGTGTCGAACCTGTTTGATTGCACTATTCGCAGCCCTCATTTCTACACAGAGGCATATATTATCGTCTTTCTTTGGGACAATAACCAGAGGAGAAATCCAGTCTGTTTCTTCAGTGTCTGGTACCGGTTCAATTATATCATTATCATGTAGTTTTTTAGTTCACGTTCGACTTTTCCTCTCAGGTGAAATGGTGTTCTACATTGTTTTTGAGCTACTGGCTTGATGGTTTTGTCTATAATCAGCTCAATTTGTTTGTTTTGTAGTTTGCCTTGTCCTTGCAAAACACTTGAATAATTGTCTACAATGCGTTGGACCCTTTTGTCGCCAATCAGGGTCTTTTGTGCCTCTTTGCTGGTTGGTTTTGTAGTTGCGACTTGGTTTAGATGCAGAGTAATAAGTCCAATTCTTCGGCCGTATTGGCAAACTAAGGAGACCCCCCCCCAGGTTCGGTGACATAAATTGTTGCCACAGTGATCTTTTTCTGGGATTCCATTGTGGTTTGAAACTTTCCTTTCATTCTCACTGGTTCTATTGCATTAAATGGGTATGCCTTGATGCGAGTTTTAGTAAGCTTGATTGGTCCAAGTTGTTTGAACGTAGCTTGATCAACAACGTTGATAGTGCATCCAGTGTCAACAGTAAATTTACATGATGTTTGTCTAACTCATTAAGCAGCAAGCTGTTACAATGTTTCTACCCGCCTAAGGCGCAAGCAATATGGCGAATTTGTGATTGAATTCAAGAGCTTTCACCAAAATGGCAATATCTCAGAAACAGTTGCATTAAAAAAATCTGATCTTTTCAACCAAACCATTGGTGATATATGATTGACCAAATTTAGTTTAAATGACTTTGCATACCTACATATATCATTAGTTTTTTCAATGAGAATTTTTATTTGTAAAGCAGTGACACTTTGTTTTTCATGTCACTCATCACCTAAAGGGGTAATATCTCCATAAATTTATATAAAAACAAAAAAAAATCATTTACTAAATTTGTACATATCTATATTATAACCAATTTTCATCTTTTGGGATATGAATTAGAAAACGATCAAAAGTTATAAATACTCTTTTGCTTTTTTTGGGCAAGATATTTACAACATGAAATTTAGAACAGTAACTAAGTGTTCAAATTCAACAAAATGTGCAAGCCAAAACACAGTGCTTGTTCATCTTTGGAGTTTTTAATTACCTCAAATATATTTAAAAGGACATATGGTACTAGAATTTATTTATTTTCAATATAAACCAAGGATGGAAAGGTGAGAAAATAGGAATTTTCTGAGGTGTTTTTAACACAGACAATGACAGCCGACATTTTCAAAGGCAAATTGCGGTGACAAAACCAAAAGTTATTCACTTCTCTACTCAAAACACTGAAAAACACCATAAAGAGAAAAACATTTTAAACATACATCAGGTAAGTCTTTTAGCTCAATTTTCTCATGTTTCTGTTTGGAAAGAAACGGTTTTTAGCCAAAATTATTTTGCGTGTCAATGTAGGCTGCTATAAAATGTCAGACACACGTTTTCTTTTGAAGTCTGGCTCTAAAAAACAATCGCTTTTTTTAGTTTGAAATAAGCTTTCTAAGGACTAATTGTGTAGAAATGTTATCTGTATGCTCAAATGAAAAAGATAAGCTAATATTCAGGTACTCCACATAGCTATAAAAGGGTGAAATAAGGACTTTCATCTTTGGTTGTTTGGCAGACATGAGAAACCACATTAGTGCCATTTTGTCGCGCATGCTATCTTATAAAATAAACACCTCAAAACCATATACTTTTAGTTCAGAAAATAACAAAGTTTCCCATAGACATTATTAAAAATGTTCTAGTGAAGCGATTTCATGATAAATAAGTGAGCTATGGGCCCAAAAGAACTGCTAAACTATGTTTTTGTTAGGACTTCAATTTCATGGCTTCCCGCAAAGGAAACCATTTCAGAGAGAAGCGGCATTTTGCAAGCAACCGTTGCGACCTATTTTTGATAACTTTTCCTTCTGATTCAACGTGTATAGTTACTAGAAAATGAGGTTGCATCAACATTATTATCTGCTTTATCGATTTAAAGTTTTACGGGGATATAAAACTCCATAGAAAAAGCATTTTAAAACCTTTAGAACTCAAGTGCAGACTTTTTGAAAATTCGCACGCGGCAAGCAAGCGCACTAATTCAATATACTTATTTTAAACCACAATATGTCTGAAATGAGTTGTTGTTTTAAGACTAAATTTATGAAAATAGATATAACAGTGATTTTGGAATATCCTACCTACTTAGTGTAATTTAATACTCGAAGTATTCTTGCCAAAAAGGGCACGTACGCACACAGTAATTTAATCTGCTGTCGTTTAAAACATAATTTAGCTAAAATAACAACTTGAGCAAGAAGACCAACAATTGGGTTACGAAAACAGTCGAAATTGTGCCCAAATTTGCATAAACAGTTCATCTAAAAAGATAACTTTAAAC